CCATGGTTGTTTCCTTATTTGTATCTATTCGGTATAACCTAACATTGTCACCTCTTCCGTTGCAGGTAAACGTCGCTGTCTGCACTCTCAATATTGTGTTATAAAATCTGAGCTGTTACAAAAGCATTCAGCCAATTACATTCCGCGGAGGCGGGGCTTAAAGCTTGTACACACATTCTGATTGGCTTAGCTGTTACACAATTGCATAATATTAAGCGCATGATACATACCGTAGAAGAGAGCTTTTAGATGTGTCAGTCCAACAGTGCAGATAATCTTCCTGCTTGTGATCACAACGTCCGTTAAAAAACATTATAACACATATGAGACGTTCTGCAGTAAGGAGGGGCGTTTCACCGAGGACAGGTGTTCTTACTTTTATGTAGCTGACGGAGAATGTTTACTTTACACGACACTGTTCAACACTTAATTCTGCTTCACTCTTTAACTAAACAACCGCGGATGTCTTGAAAGACTCTTTCGCTAAATATTTTTTAAGATATCCGCGTTCTTGTGACACGTAAATACTACGGATATCTGCGTTCTTGTGACACGTAAATACTACGCTTCCTATGTTTTGGTGCGGACTGCGCGCAGATATCCGTAGTATTTACGTGTCACAAGAACGCGGATATCTTAAAANTCTTTTATACATCAACATGTGTCCCCTCTGTGTAAAGAGATTCTGAAAGTTTCAGGAAAAAAGACCCCCTCTCTTTTTGTCCTGATCCATTTATATAAAAACCTGTCAGAAAATGAGCTGATCAGATTTTGGCCACTTTACGATGTCATAACGATGTGTTGTCTTGTGTAACCATTAGCCAATCAGCAACCACGGTACCCCCCCACCTTATCACCTGAATCTACTCCTAGAGCACCATTGAGTTCTTTGTAACCAAATATCTCTCAGAGGGGCGTGGGGAGGGGCTCCTTATTTTCATCTAAATTAACAGACAGAGAATCAGCACTTTGGAAACAGGGCTGAAACAGAGGGGATTATGGGTAATGCTGCAATGATCTGTTTGGTGTTTGGAGTCAAACACTTCAGAGACATGTTTTGTATATATCTGAGACCTATAATATATTGATGATAAACAGTATAATAGGGGACCTTTAAACACTCTTGGATTATGGCTAAGATGTCTTTTACATGTTTTCTAGCTGCAGAGACACAAACACTTGGCGAAGGATCACTCTCCGGACCTGTACTCTCTGGAGCTGTCCGGCCTGGAGGAGCTCAGCAGGGTCTACGGCCAGGACTCTCCTCAGTACCGTGACGCCACCGCCATCCTCGCCACCGTTCTGCAGAAAGTAAGTAGACAGTCTAAATTTGGCCTTACTTACTTTTACATCCTCATTTTAATTTTAAATCTGTCATCTGTGTATAATAATACTTTTTCTCATTGTAGTTTGGAGAGGATGTGTATGGTCTATATGGCAACAGCACTGTGGTGGAGGTGGTTACAGTGAAGACCTTTCAGGCTCCTTTGACCAGGAAGTCCCGTTCAATCCTGGAATCCAAACAGATCGTAAGTCATGATTACTTGTTGCACGTCACACTACTACCTTCATTTAAACAAAGTTTATTGCAGGGCTGTTGTATTAAAATCAGGCTTCTTACGGTCATTACAAACCTGGAAAAGTCATGGAAATTCAAAATGCTAATTCCAGGCCCTGGAAAAGTTATGGAAAACAATATTTTTCCCAAAGTTTTGGAAAAGTCATGGAAATGTAACTAAAGTTGCATCAAATATAATTTATATTTTAGCTAATCGCCCGAAATAGTAATACTATAATGATAATAAATACTGTATAGTAATGAAACGTAAAATGGCATTTAACTGTCGAGGTATTTTGCTGGTGAGAGATTTTAGTTGCTTTAGCCTGTAGAAGCTAGTAAGCCTACCATTTGATTTGTTTTAGATAGGCATAACATGTTTCATATGCAGACCTTATTTTCCTGTTCCATGTTCAAATAAACCATTTTCAGTGGTACTGAAACGGTCATGGAAAAGTCATTGAAAATCATTGGTGAAAAAGTGTATGAACCCTGTAGAATGCATTAGTTGGAGTTAGTTCTACTTAATAAACTGGCAACTACTTTTAAGTTTTTATGGTGTTTGCATATTATGCCATGTGTGAAATCTCCATAATCTGGAGCTGGTTTCATGGTCTTGATGGTTTCCCTTGTGCCTTTGATGCTATAAAAAAGTTAAAATGTGTACCGTGAAAAAAGTGCATGACAAAGCTCTATTGATGATTTAAAGTACCGTACATGTCTCGTGTTGGGGTGATGTTATCAATGGTGAGAAATATGAAATAACAAAGCCTACACTGTTAGTATTTATTTCTCTGCACTGTGTCATTGTGTTGTCTCCTAGGTTCTGTAGTGCCCGGAGTCTGTCTTTTTATTTTCTTCCTCCCAACCCCCATCCCCTCAGGAAGCCTTTTGCCTCCTGTCATGTCATCATAGAAAATAAGAATTTGTTCTTAATTGATTTTCCTGGCTAAATAAAGGTTCTACTACTACTACTACTACTACAGTGGGATTGCCGTTCTAGTCCATGCTTCTTAGTTTTTATGACTTAGGTCTGGAAACAAGGAATGCTTTGATCAGCAGCTCTTTAAAAAGGCTAATGGGAGTCAGATGGTGGGAGGTGATTCCTAATAGTTAGTAGATCTTAGTACATCCTGTTGCAATGCATGCAAAGTGATGAAGATGAAAAGGTTGAAGGTTTGTTATTTAAGTAATGCGTCTACTTTTATTACATTATAGAGCAACCCCGGCAGCCCTTACAACCTGGCCTACAAGTACAACTTCCAGTATGCTGTGATCTTCAACATTGTGCTGTGGCTGATGATCGCTCTGGCCCTCGCCGTCATCGTCACTTCATACAACCTGTGGAACATGGACCCAGGATACGACAGCATCATCTACAGGATGACCAACCAGAAGATCAGGATGGATTAGGTCCTGACCCATCAACACTCCCTCTGTCCTCTTTAATCCCTCCAGTGAATGTTTGTGTGTTTTGTGAGGTCTTGTTTAGTGAAACAAAATGTGACAACTTGAGGGGAGGAAGGGTTTAATATGGAGTCACCTCTTTGATTACAATGCTGACATGATAACGGACAAAAAACATTGACATTTCAGTATTTGTTCTTACATTTGCCTACATAAATAAATCCTCCTACACTGATGTATACACTGAACCAATTCACCCTTCCTCCCTTCAACTTCAACTCATTCCTTCTGACTTTGACTCCTCACTAACTATGTTTTGTTTGTTTCCCTGGTGATTGCAACTTTATTTTTTATTGTAAAAAATAGTGTAATATGAAAGAATGCGTCTGTTTCCGGTGTGAACTTGTTGTGGTTGTTTGGCTGTGTGAAGCTGTTTTAAGTTAAATGAAATCTATGTGTATATATTGAAGATACAAAGAAAACTGTATGAGAAACTGCTGTACTCTTATTGTGAAAAGATGTGTGCAGTGTTTATTCCAGGTAGGTTTCACCCTGCTTTAGATGAATAGTTACTCATTATGATGGTTGTTAAGATTGGACAAGGATAATTTAAGCTCTGTCAATTGCAATAAAATGCCTGACAATAAATTATTACATGGATCACCCCAATTTGTTTCCTTTCATTCATTCAAGCATGTGCTTAATTTAGAAAAAAACAATTATTTACTGTTTCAAAATAACCTTTAACCTTTTTGTAAATATTAGAACTCTTATACTTGTGTAGTTTGATGTCATGTTTCAGATACGTTGTTAATTAAAACCCCTTGCGAAAATTTGCTCTCTAACCTTAAAATAACTAATTTAAGTAACTCTTGAAATGATCCAGTATTTCACCTTATGCAGTTTTTACTTGTAATGGAGTATTTTATACTGTGGTATTAATGTTATACTTAAGTAAATGAATATTTCTTCCACTACTGCACCTATCTTACCATTTTTGGGTGCGTTCACACCTGCCTTGTATAGTCCGGTTGAATCGAACCCTGGTGCGTTTAGCCGCTTGGTGCGGTTCATTTGGGTCGGTGTGAACACAATCCGAGACCTCTGAAGTAAACAACCAGACTCTGGTCCGCTAAAATAGGTGGTCTCGGACACGGTTCATTGCTGGTGTGAACGCAGTCCGCACCAAAACATAGGAAGCGTAGTATTTACGTGTCACAAGAACGCAGATATCCGTAGTATTTACGTGTCAAAGAGTCTTTCAAGACATCCACGGTTGTTTGGTTAAAGAGTGAAGCAGAATGAAGTGTTGAACAGTGTCGTGTAAAGTAACAATTCTCCGTCGGTGAAACGCCCCTCCTTACTGCAGAACGTCTCTCTATACTGTATGTGTTATAATGTTTTTAAACGGAGGTTGTTTGATTATATAATCATATGCGCGGGCCGCTAGTGTCTGTTGATCTCCAGATTAACAGCAGCATGAGAATAACCTGCCGAAAGTGCCGATGCTCCATAGCTGAGGCTCCGGTAGAAATTGCAGGGATTTGCGTTTTTACCCCCTTTTGACCAATTGTTGAACAGCATTTCCGTGCACATGACTTGTGTTTAAAGTTTATAGTCCGTTTGAGTTTTGCCCGTGTGAACGCAAACTAAACCTTCTGAAAAATGAAACAATGCAACTAGGGCTGTGCAATTAATCGTATTTTAATCGCGATCACGATTATGGCTTGCGACGATTATGAAAACAGCATAATTGACAAAATACGATTATTTTGCTGGGTGCGCTTTCGCCTCGACCAAAAAGCAGATGCCCGCTCAACTTCATACACCACATTATCACAGTCATCGATTCAGGACGCATTGTACAGAGCAACGGCTTACGCGACGAGCTCGCAGAGACACAGAGATATTACAGGTGTCATTACATTTCACATCGCTAAAGATATGTGCCCAGTTAGCACTGTTAGCAACCAGGGCTTTAAGCAACTTGTCAATACGTTGGACAAGCATTACGCGATGCCGTCTCGGTATTATTTCAGCAGGTCTGCGCTGCCTGCACTATATGACAAATGCCGTGGGGAAGTTGAGAGAGATGTGGCTTCAGCTGACTACTTTGCCACCACAACGGACCTATGGTCTAGCCCAGGGGTGCCCAACCAGTCGATCGCGGGGAGATTCCCAGTCGATCGCAAGATGTGTCTAAAAATAGAACAACAATATTCTTTGTTATCGTTAATGTCTTGTAACATAATCTTCCTGTGCCAGAATAATGCACTT